ACACACACACACACACACACACACACACACACACACACACACACACACACACACACACACACACACACTTGAACCGTACAAAATCAACATTATTTACATACCACACACACAAACACACACCATGCAGCCTCTCTCCCATTCAGCCCGAACACACAGGCGAGTCCTCCTGGTTTCACACTCAGGGGTTGAAACACGAACCTGCTACCGATAAACCCAAACCAGTGCCGAGCAGATTCTGATATGCATAAAGATTTATTTATTTTCTTCCCTCTGAGGGTGTGAAACAAAAGAGTGATAAGAGAGCGACACACAAAGCATGTCAGCCAAACGTCCAGCTGAGACGTCTTTACAAACACCAGCTTGTTGAGTTTAATGCTTTATGCAGCGTCAGCAGGTTTCAGGATCCAAACAGGTCCTGGGAGAAACAGATACTTCTTTAAACGCCTCACATATTTCTGCTCAAATCTTCCTCAGCCTCAGCATGCTTGAGGAAATGTCACACCAGGTGGCAGCTGTCGTACCGAAGAACACAGGATGTTCTTTACTGGGGGGGTTCCTGCTGGAAACACAAAGCAGCTGAGGTGCTTCGTTTCAGAGTGTTTCTTACTTTCAGCTACTTAGACTTCAGCTAAATCTCGTAAAACATTAACATAAAAAAATCCAATAAAACAAACAGCATTCCTTTTTTAAAGACTAAAAACATCTGTAAAATAATTCATTTAAATAGACTACAATCAGCAGGTATTAACTTGTATTTTTATGAAGAACAAACTTTAAGAGAGCAGATTATGTGAAACTGTGACATCTAGCAGCGAATCTAAAAACTTTAAACCATGAAAAGTTTGTTTTGTCTCTTTTAAGACTGACAGGCTGCAGGGGTTGGAGACACAAAAATGCAACAAGAGTAAAATAACTGTCATGGGATTCACGCTAAAGTGAAACCTACAAAATAATTGTGATGCAGATTGAATGAACGGGATGCAAATGTATTAAAACTGACTCAAATACACACGGAGGTGTTTGACTGTAAAGAACAAAATGAACAAAAAATAGAACAAAATTTTTGATGTAGTGAAACAAAGAAACTCATCTGGAGTTTCTGATGTTTAAAGCTGCAGGAAAATAACTCACAATCTCTTGAATATAATCTGGATTATAGTCTGTAATCCATACCACCAGTAAAGAACATCCTTTTGGAGGATTATTGCTACAGTCTGAGCTTTTTTATTTAATGTAAATTTTATCTTTCCCTTTGTCCCAACAGCTTCCAGATGTTTCTGCAGTCAGAGCTGCAAAAACCTGTTGAAGTGAAACTATTTGCTGTTTGAAACATCTCCACAGTCATTTCAGGTTGTTTTCACTGGAAGCAGAGTTTAATCGTTTGAGTTGCTCTTGTGACGTAACAGTTTTAAAATTTCACCACTTTAGCAAAATCATTAATTATCTATGATAATAATCTTAATATTTCTGGTAAAACAAGGATAAAATATTAACCTTCTCTGACTTGTGCAGCAACATCTGAATGCTGTTGTCTTAAATCTACAATGTATTCTCCTCTTAAACTTCATTTAAATAGTAATATTTCTTTTCATCTTATATTCACACAGTGCACTTTGCTTGTTGAGATGCTTTGGGTGCTTTAAGACCGGATTTCACAAGTTAATCCAGTAAAGTAACTGAACATCCAGATTAAAAGTGTAAAAACACATTTTTTTTGTGTCGAAATTCACTCTAAATCACTAACTTTATACAGAGACATTGCACCTGGATCTGACTCCTTTTCTTCAGAAAAAAGCATAAAAAAAGATTTTTTTGTGCCAAATCAACAAAGAGCAGAAACTGCGCAGCTGATATGCACTGTTTTAGTTWTTTTAATGATTTTTGTGGATGTTATTTTAAAGTAGGTGAAATATTCTTTGATCGTCTCAAGATAAAATTTGTGTTTGAAAGCACATAAATGTCCCTGTCACTCATTAACAAAGATGGGTGAACACACACACCCACACACGAACACACACACACACAATCAGGGTGCGAGTGGAGAGAGCTGCATAAAGGGGCGACAACACCTCATTGTGTTTTAGGTTTCTCTCCATATAGATTATTATGTCTATGTACAGTATTTATATTTTTACAATAATCTGGATGCCCCTAAACTTATAATTAAAACAAACAAACAAATTGAGGATTTTTCCACCCAACCAGCAGAACATGTCAGCGTGCCCAGTCTTTACATCTTCCCTCCTTTTCAAACCTCTGAAAGACGGCGTGACGGCCCGAGCTGCTGACCTGAACACAGTGTTCTTCTAAGGCTTACTGAAGGTCACGAGCTCGAGGGGTTAAAACAAGTCGTAACATCGCCGAGMGCTCGGTCAGTTCCAGAGCAAGAAATCAACCGACCATCACAACAAGAGACCGGAACGACTGCAGAGCACTGAACGCAGGTTTAAAAATACAGTACAGCTTGATCTGTAGGAGGGGATTAAAAAACAAAACAAAAACAGCAAAATTCACAGCATACAAACACAATCTCTCTGTTAGACACACACACACACACACACACACACACACACACACACACACA